TGCCTTGTATTGTAGTAACCATATGTATATAGAAAATACGTGAGGTCGGGGCATTGCAAGGTTCTGTTAGGTAGGTGCATTGAAAGACTCTGTTAGGTAGGGGCATTGAAAGACTCTGTTAGGGGCATTGCAAGGCTCCGTTAGGTAGGTGCATTGAAAGACTCTGTTAGGTAGGTGCATTGAAAGACTCTGTTAGGGGCATTGCAAGGTTCTGTTAGGTAGGGGCATTGGAAGGCTCTATTAGGGGCATTGCAAGGTTCTGTTTGGTAGGGGCATTGCAAGGCTCTGTTAGGTAGGTGCATTGAAAGACTCTGTTAGGTAGGTGCATTGAAAGGCTCTGTTAGGTAGGGGCATTGCAAGGCTCTGTTAGGTAGGGGCATTGAAAGACTCTGTTAGGTAGGGGCATTGTTACCCCTGTTAGGTAGGGGTATTGAAAGGCTCTGTTATTATCAGGGTTGGACTTCTCATACTTTTTTTTTTGTTGTTAAACTTATTTAGAAATAATTTTAATTAAAATAAATACATATTATGCTTACAATCTTTATAAATCAGTTTTATACCACAAAGAAAACAAAAAAAAATTTCTGCTACAAAAATATGAGCTGTTAGCAAAACAGCATCCTTTGCAGTCAGGTAGTGATATCTGTATTAAAGTGTTCTTTATACTCCAAGACTTGAATCAAAATCCTACTCACAATAAAATCTTTCTAAGAGCTGAGAACAAAACAGCATCCTACGCAGTCAGATAGACATCGGTATTGACGTGTTCATTTTACTCAAAGTCCGAGGCATAGAAACATAGAATGTGACGGCAGATAAGAACCATTCGGCCCATCTAGTCTGCCCAATTTTCTAAATACTTTCATTAGTCCCTGGACTTATCCTATAGTTAGGATAGCCTTATGCCTATCCCACGCATGCTTAAACTCCTTTACTGTGTTAACCTCTACCACTTCAGCTGGAAGGCTATTCCATGCATCCACTACCCTCTCAGTAAAGTAATACTTCCTGATATTATTTTTAAACCTTTGTCCCTCTAATTTAAGACTACGTCCTCTTGTTGTGGTAGTTTTTCTTCTTTTAAATAAAGTCTCCTCCTTTACTGTGTTGATTCCCTTTATGTATTTAAATGTTTCTATCATATCCCCCCTCGTCTTTCCTCCAAGCTATACATGTTAAGTTCCTTTAACCTTTCCTTGTAGCGCTGTACAATATTATGAGAGGGTGGATTTAACTATAAATAGGACAATTACAAAAAACTTACAGGAACAATGGGTTGAAAGGGACCCTGCTCAAACGAGCTTACAGTCTATAGGAGGTGGGGTATAAAACACATTAGGACTGGAAATAGCAATCAAATAGGGTGGGAGTGAAGCAGAGCCTTTAGGAGAGAGCAAGGGACAGGTATGTGAGGTAGAGGTTACTCTGGCTGGCCATAAGCTTTGCTAAAGAGATGGGTATTAAGGCACTTTTTAAACTGTTGAAGACTAGGGGAGAGTCTGATGGCGGTAGGCAGGTTATTCCATAGGAAGGAAGCCGCCTGTGAGAAGTCCTGCAAGCGTGAGTTGGCCGTACGGGTGCAAGCAGCAGACAGGAGAAGGTCATGGGCAGAGCGGAGAGACCGAGAAGGGGCATACCTATGGGTCTTTGAAGAGATATAAGAGGGGCTAGAATTGTTCAGTGCTTTATAGGTATGGGTTAGCAACACTTTGCATATACTCCTATAGGATACAGGAAGCCAATGTAAGGACTGAGGTGTGAGAGGACCGACTAGAGAGGAAAATCAGTCTGGCAGCAGTATTCATTACTGTTGTGGGTGGCGGGCCGAAGACCTGGACTCCTGTGTGCCTGATGAGGATGATGGGAGTCTCAGAGTGGAAATGGACAATAAGGGTCAGGTGTAGGGTAACCACACGCCCACTGGTGTTGAGCACCAGGGTTTGTGCGACCACATACCAGAGCCCTGATGCAGCTTAACGGATGCCAGGAGCTGATATTAGGCAGATATGCATCCCGTACTAGAAACAAGGCAAGACTAGAACAGGCACCAAACGAGATAAGACAAGACTAGAAAAACCCAGAACCGGAGAAGAACAGAAAGCAGAACCCAGAACATGTACACAATACATGAGGGAAACATGAACAGGACATGGACAGGACAGGACAGGACAGGGCAGGACTGGGAATACAAGACAAAATAAAACAAGACAAGAGATACAAGGCATAACAAGAGGAGAAAACACTAAGTACTAGATTTAGACATACATAAATGGCCACGATGTATGCAGCCCACCACTGCACCAAAGTACTCCAATTATGGTGGGTCCTATTCATATGTATTACTAAATAAACAACGATAAAACATCCAGAGTACTTACCTGCAAAGAAGGGGGCAGAGGAAATGAATCCACTGCCTGCAGGAGCAGACTGAAACAAAAAGGATTAATGGCAAAGGGGAAAAAAAACATTCAAAGGAATACAGGAAATTCCAAGAACGGAAGAAAGGAATGAACCTAACATAAAGAAAACCAGACACAGAATAGAAAACCAGAAAAGCCAAGAAAAACTAAACAAGAATTGTAAAAAGAGTACTGGATATCAGAAGCCAAGACAGAAATGATCCGCAACAGGAGCAGACTGTGACAATTACAGACTGTAGTGGGGCAATACGGCTTTTGGGAAGACCAATTAGGAGAGGGTTACAATAAACAATGCGTGAAATTACTAGAGCATGGACAAGCTCCTTGGTAACATCTGGGGTAAGAAAGGGGCAGATGCGGGCTATGTTTTTGTTTTTTTATCATTTGAATTTTATTTGGTTTTCAAAGTCATAAAGTCGTAAATGGGGTTACGGAAGGAAGAAAAGGGGGACATTGGGGTACATATAGGGTGAAGGAAACAGTTTCTTATTATCACGTTACATTATTTATCATGGTTGCATCAATTGGTGAGAATACAGTTGCGGTATGTTTAACTAGACAGTTATTTAGCTAGCTACAGTCTGATGTAGTTCCTGACATCTCATTACATATAATTACAGATCAGCAGGTACAAGAGGTCGTTCAGCTGACTTATCAGTGTGTGTTTTTAATTTTTTTTCTACTCATTATTTGTGGGCTTCTTGGATGCCTGTGCGTGTACTAAATAGTTTTGTTGTCATTAGTTCATATGTCCAGTTTAAGTTTACCTGTTTAATAAGGTTTTCCACTGATGGAATTTGGGTCCTCTTCCACAACCTGGAGATTACTAAATTGGCTGATATTAGTGTGTGGTAAAGGATGACCCTGATATACTTTGGGATGTCCCTAGGCAACATGAACAGAAGGCAGACCTTGGAATGGTCTGAACGTGGTGTGGGTAGGATTTTCTGGAGTAAATTTACTACGGTGTCCCAGAAGAGTTTGAGTTTGCAGCAAGACCACCAAATGTGTAGCATCGTGCCCACCTACCCTCCACACCTCAAGCATATGTTACTGGTTGTTGGCCATAACTTGTGTAGTTTGTCTGGCACTAAGTACCAGTGATATAATATTTTTCGCTGTAGCTTGAGGTGTGAGGCGCAGGCTGTGAGCCCCTTGTGTGCCAGAAAAGCCCTTTCCCATTCCCAATCTGCCATAATTTGGTCCAGTTTATTGTGCCAGGTCTGTTTTAGTTTGTCTATCGTGTGTGTCTGCCTCTTGTTTAACTCAATGTACCCCCAGGACATTGCCTTTTTGGGGGGTGAGGTACTGACACATTGTTCCTCAAATTTTGACATGTGTTTTGTGTTGTTGGAGTCTATCAGGGAGCATAGTTTGTCTGTCACGTAAGATTTTAGCTGGAGGTAGGAGAATATGGTTCTGTGGGGGAGGTCATATTTGGTTTGGATGGTAGGGAATGGCAACAGGCAACCCCTGTCAAAGACCTGGTAGACATGATGTATTCCCTTCCCCGTCCATTGCTCTCTAGGAAAGGTCAGGATCATCTGCCCTATTGTGTGCTGTGTGGTGGCTAATGGTATTTGTGGTTCTACCACAGGTTTGTCTCTCATTTTATCCCACATATGTATTAGAGTCTGGGTGTTGTGTAGGAGGTCATCGAGGACGTGTCTGGGGCGGCTCGGCATCCATAGGATTGATCTAAGATCTCTCTGAGGGGACCAGTGTGATTCTATTTTGACCCACTGGGGGGCCTTGATAGGTTGATTGATTTGGACTATGTTGTGCAGAAAAACTGCTCTATGTTAGGTTGTTAGGTTAGGGAGGCCCAAACTCCCCCTCCCCACTGCCTGTTGTAGAGTTCCTGTTGCCACCCTCACCTTTTTCCCCTCCCATATGAAAGACGTTAGAGCGTGTTGTATGTTTTTCAGGTATTGTTTCGGTAGAGGTATTTGCAGTGTTCGGCAGCGATACTGGACTTTAGGTAAGAGAGTAATTTTCACTGCCGCTTTCCGGCCCAACCAGGACAGAAAGTGTCCCTTCCATGACTGTGGGTGTCTGTGAATTCTTTGAGCAGGCGGACATAGTTGTCCTTAAATAAGTGGACTGGGTTTTTGGTGAGTTTGAGGCCCCGAAAGGTTAGGTGATTGTGTCGCCAGTCCAGAGGGAAAGCCGCCTGCAGCCTATTCGTTAAGTCTTCACCTAGGTGCAATTCCAGGGCTTGGTTTTTGGTGACATTTAATTTGTAATAGGAGATGGCTCCGTATGTTTAGATTTGTGCCATCAGATCGGTAAGGATATGAGTGGTCATGTTATTGTTACCAGTATGTCGTCTGTGAAGAGCTTTAGCTTATACTCCCTATCGCCTAGAGAAATGCCATGGATGGACAAATCTGCCATGATGGCATCGGCCATGGGCTCCAATGCCAGTACATAGAGCAGTGGCGACAGAGTACAGTCCTGCCTAGAGCAGTTAGTAATATTTATTTGCTTATATATGAACCCGGAGTTAAGGACCCTAGCTGTGGGACATGAGTATAGTGCGTGGACTGCGTTTATGAAGGCTGGTGGGAATTTGTATTTATGGAGAACTGCGTCCAGAAAAGTCCAATTAAGGCGGTCAAAAGCCTTTTTGGCACCCAGGGAGAGTAGCAGGCCCCCCTGTTGGCTTCTGTGTAGGCTATGCATTAAGCTGATAACCTTCTCGTATTGTCTGACCCTTGTCTTACCAGGGCAAGGCCCACCTTATCGTCAGGTATCAGTGAAGGGAGGATATTGTTCAGTCTAGTGGCTTGAACTTTCGCGTAGAGTTTGGTGTCAGTGTTTAGAAGTGACATCGGGCGAATGGTTTGGCTACATGTAGGGGGTTTCCCTGGTTTGGGCAGCATAACGATCTGGGCCTCAAGCATGTCTTTTGGTGCTTCTGCCTTGAGGGTTGCGGTTTGGAACAGTGTGGTTAGATGGGGAGTTAATGTTTCTGCAGATTTTTTGTAATAGGTGTTGGTGAGTCTGTCTGGGCCTGGGGCTTTCCCATTTGGTAGGTGAGTGATGGCCTGGAGTACCTCCTCCTCTGAGATGGGTGCTTGTAGGGTTTTATTTGTTCCCTCGAGAGTGATGGCAGAGGTATCCTCTCCAGGTACCTCTGTATGTGTGTGGGATTCGGTTGGAGTGTGTTAGTGTTATTCGCTAGGTTTTACAGGAATTCGTAATAATCTGCAAAGACATCGCTGATGTATTTAGGGGTTACCTTCTTTTCCCCTGCTGTGTTTAGATATACGGTATCTTGGTATTTGTGCACCTATGCATCAGTTTTCTGGTAAATATCTTGCTCTCCCTGTTTCCTTGGGTGTAGTGGGTTGATTTTAGTTTCCGTAAGCCAAATCCCATTTTGGTCAGGTCATGCTCTTTGATTTCACTGAGCAGTTCCCTGATTTGTGTTTTTATGGCCGGGGTTGGGGATTCTTGGTTTTGTTTATTTAAGAGGTATAGTTCCTTCAGCCAACCTTTCGTTTTGGCTTGGGTTTTTTGTTTTATTGCACTGGCCTTCCTGATGAAGAGCCCTCTGATTACAGGTTTGTGGGCCTGCCATAAGGTTTCTGATGAGTCTGGTTTGTGGCAAAGTAATTTTTAATGTCAATGGCTAGTTTCTGGCAAAATTGTGCATCATTTCGTAGGGTTTCATTTAGCCTCCATGGGCTGTGGTTCTTATATTCGTAAGTATCCTGCATGTCTAGGAATATTGGGGCGTGGTCTGACCACGATATGGCACCTATGGAGCAGGATGACAGTTAGTTAAGGTGTGTGCCTGGTATAAGGAACCCAGATGCAGGCGTAAGTGTTGTGGACTTGCAAGTAGAAAGTATAGTCCCGCTCAGGGTGGAGAACTCTCCATGCATCGTACAGGTCATACTCATGCAGCAGGCGTACTAGTGGTTTGCATTCTCGTGTAAGGGTGGCAAACCTAGGAGTGTTGGGGCGTACAGTGGAGTCCAGTGTTGGATTCAGTACAAAGTTGAGATCCCCGCATATGGCTGTGATGCCCCTCTGGACTGGCGAGGAAATTTCTCTGGTCTGTGTTTGGTGTATATAGGCTAACAAAATGGTGTCCCAGGTTGTTGATTTCGCAAACCAAAATAATGTATCGCCCTTGTTCGTCTATGGATTCATAGAGTGACTTAAATGAAACATCCTTACTGATCAGGATTGAGACCCCTTGGTTTTGGAGTGAGAGGTGCTGTGATACTGGGTGGGGTATTGTGTTTGCAAGAGTTGAGAGACTTTTTTGAAGTGTGTTCAAAAAATACCGTTTGACTGGGGTGTTCAACCCCTTAACGTTGTGGCTGTATATTTTCACACTCTAAGAGTCCGTGCCAGGGTGTGCTGTCCTGTACCTCTCCTTACTGGTGTTTTTAATGCAGCTTTTGCCGGCTATATTTTTAAGATGGAATCTACAAGATTTGGCAACATACTGGATGTGAGGCTCAAAGGTGAGGCCAGACTCAAGTATAACGGCAAGACAGCATGCTTGCAAGGAATGACTGATGTGGATACCACTAACTTGAACGGAGAGCGAAAGAGGAGGATCAGTATTAGGAGGAGAAAAGACAACGAGCTCAGTTTTAGAGAGATTACGTTTCAGAAAGAGGGAGGACATCCAGTCAGAGATGAAAGAAAGGCAAGCAGTGACACATTGCAGGACGGCAGGGGAGAGGTCTGGGGAGGAGAGATACGGTTGCAAGAAAAAGTATGTGAACCCTTTGGAATGATATGGATTTCTGCACAAATTGGTCATAAAATGTGATCTGATCATCATCTAAGTCACAACAATAGACACAGTCTGCTTAAACTAATAGCACACAAAGAATGAAATGTTGCCATGTTTTTATTGAACACACCATGTAAACATTCACAGTGCAGGTGTAAAAAGTATGTGAACCCTTGGATTTAATAACTGGTTGAACCTCCTTTAGCAGCAATAACGTCAACCAAACGTTTCCTGTAGTTGCAGATCAGACGTGCACAACGGTCAGGAGGAATTCTTGACCATTCCTCTTTACAGAACTGTTTCAGTTAAGCAATATTCTTGGGATGTCTGGTGTGAATCGCTTTCTTAAGGTCATGCCACAGCATCTCAATTGGGTTGAGGTCAGGACTCTGACTGGGCCACTTCAGAAGGCGTATAGCAATCCGTCCAGAGCCTGACACAGCAAAGCAGCCCCAAACCATGATGCTCCCACCACCATACTTCATAGTTGGGTTGGGGTTTTGATGTTGGTGTGCTGTGCCTTTTTTTCACCACACATAGTGTTGTGTGTTTTTTCCAAACAACTCAACTTTGGTTTCATCTGTCCACAGAATATTTTGCCAGTACTGCTGTGGAACATCCAGGTGCTCTTGTGCAAACTGTAAATGTGCAGCAATGTTTTGTTTGGACAGCAGTGGCTTCCTCTGTGGTATCCTCCCATGAAATCTATTCTTGTTTAGTGTTTTACATATTGTAGATTCGCTAACAGAGATGTTAGCATTTGCCAGTGATTTTTGTAAGTCTTCAGCTGACACTCTAGGATTCTTCTTCACCACATTGAGCAAGTCTGTGCTGTGCTCTTGCAGTCATCTTTACAGGACGGCCACTCCTAGGGAGAGTAGCAGCAGTGCTGAACTTTATCCATTTATAGACAATTTGTCTTACCGTGGACTGATGAACAGCAAGACTTTTGGAGATACTTTTATAACCCTTTCCAGCTTTATGCAAGTCAACAATTCTTAATCGTAGGTCTTCTGAGAGCTCTTTTGTGCGAGGCATCATTCACATCAGGCAATGCTTCTTGTGAAAAGCAAACCCAGAACTGGTGTGTGTTTTTTATAGGGCAGGGCAGCTGTAACCAACACCTCCAATCTCATCTCATTGATTGGACTCCAGTTGGCTGACATCTCACTCCAATTAGCTCTTGGAGATGTCATTAGTCTAGGGGTTCACATACTTTTTCCACCTGCACTGTGAATGTTTACATGGTGTGTTCAATAAAAACATGGCAACATTTCATTCTTTGTGTGTTTATTAGTTTAAGCAGACTGATTGTCTATTGTTGTGACTTAGATGATGATCAGATCACATTTTATGACCAATTTGTGCAGAAATCCATATTATTCCAAAGGGTTCACATACTTTTTCTTGCAACTGTATATCTGGTATATCAGCAGCGTATGTCATCAGCGTACAGGTGGTAGTGAAATCCAAATGAGGTTTGCCAAGAGAGGCAGTATAAAGTTAACTCCCTCATTTGGTCTAATTACGTGGGATATTTAAGAATATTATCTATCTACTAATCAAATTTTGTGAATATTGATCCTTCAGCTGTTATGTAACACGTCCTTATCAAAATGAATGGATCCAAAAAAATGTTGTTTTAGTTTTTTTTTTTTATTAGTTTGTTTTTGATTTTATTTTTTATTTTTTTAGTCTAGAAGTGCAGAATTTGGCCAAATTCTTGCTGGGAAGTTGCTGATTATTTTAAATCCTGGATTAATCCTTGCCATAAGATCATAACAGACAACCTCTCCATCAGATGAAAGACCTTTGACCGCTTTAACTATTAAAGGACCGCTGTCATCAAATTACAATTAATAAAACTCATTGATTTTGTTTTAATGCCTATCCCACGCATGCTTAAAATATGGGTTAATTGTT